ACGTCGATGGGATTATTAAAGGCGGTTGAAGCTGGCGAAGACAATTTGCCTTTGACTGATAAGGTGTCATCGGAGATTAAGTAGGTATCAGATCTTGTTGTTTCACAAAAAGGTGTTGACGGCGGCCCATTGGCTGGTGCAAAAGAGGGAAATGGTGCCGCAGGTGCAGTAACCTCACCGCCTGGACCTGGAGTATCAGAGGCAAATGAAGGGGAACGGCATTTAGAGGTACTTGGACCAAAAGGAGATGATGAACCCACAAGAGTTTCTGCTAGCGGTGAGGCATCTAATTCGCAAAACCAAACCGCTCATCAACCGGTTCTTTTATCCGACAGCAGTGACACTCGTCTTGGAGAAGTACTCCCTTTGAGTAATTCCGGCAGTGCTTTAATTTACAAGGACCCGCTGAAGAAAGGAGATGTCGATTCTCGCGATGCCACTGTTGGTGACACACAAAAGGTGGAAGAATTGAAAGAAGAAAATAAAGAAGAGGAAGAATTAAAGGAATTTAAGGACAGGGCGGAATCCGAGAGACGCAAAGAGGGAAAAAAAGAGGAGGGAACGCCAACAAAAATATCAACAGCACAACCAACAGCATTGGAAAGAACACAAACACCGGTAGTGAAATTGCATGGAGGAAAATCGCCAGATGCAGTTCCGGAAGGAGACGCAAGCCAAACAGAACCAGAAGATGCACAGGCCTTGACGCATCAGCAACATGAAAGCTCATCGTCACAAACGGAAACGAAGTCCGAAGCACCGGAACCTCCTGCGACGGATGGTGTGTCACCACAACAAGTTCAAGACACAGTCACGAAGGACTCGATGGAGAATGCAACTGCCACCAATCAAGCGGAAACAACAGTATCACCCAACTATACAGGTGGCAGTGGTGAAGCCCAGAGTGAGGCGGATGGGAATGATGCTCAACGGCCCAACCCCAACGAACCACACGACGTACTTGAAGGTGTTGATACCAACGATGCTCCTACACTCAGTGAGGCAGCACCACAAACAGAAGAAACAGCCGCAGCCGCCAGAATAAATGGTACGGCAACACCTGGCGACAGTGACAGCAGCACCGCGGTCTCCCACGCCACCTCCCCTCTTTTGCTTCTTCTTGTTGTTGCTTGTGGTGCTGCTGCTGCGGTGGTGGCCGCGTGAGAGTGAGTGAGTGAGAGAGAGCCATGCACCGCGCGCACACACACTCGTCCTTCTCTCACTCTCTCTGTGTGTGTCCCCTTGCATGGACTCTCGCCCTCACCTCACCCCACGAAGCACACACATAATGTGCCCATTGTATATATGCATGCACACCCATGCAGGCCCGTTGGTGCTCTCTTTTGCACGACACGCACCGCTGCCGTCCTGCCTGGCTGCATGGGCGGAGCACCGTAACTGTTTCTGTTTTGTTTTCATTGCATTGAGTGGGCGACCTCTCTCTCTCTCTCTCTCCCTGTGTGTGTGTTTTGCTTTACGGGAGCAATGAGAGTGTGTGCGCTGGTCGTCCCACGCTTCGGCTTTTTGTTTTGTTGCTATTTATTTGTTTTGCTTCTGTTTTGGTTGGGTGCTCCCATTTTACTTTTATTGATTGGTTTTCTTAAACTGCAGATGGCCGAATTTCCTTTTTTGTATCCTCTTGTTTTTTGTTTCTCTCCACGCAATCGGTCCTTGTTGCTTGAGCAAGCCACGAAATATTTGCCTAACTCCCACATCAATGGCTTACTTGCTCTACACCCCACGTTAGTTTGAAACGCTGGTGGTGCTGCAAGTGGTGTTTGTGGTGTGATTGCCAGCGGTGCTTTGCTGTCACTTTGAAGTGCTCTCGATCCTTTGGCTATGTGATGCGTGCCGACTGCACGAATTCGGTCCGAGTCGTTGTGAGGGACGTGCCCTTTTGGAGCATTGGGTGCGCTGCCGACGTACACCGTCATTGGGAGGGATGGATGAGCGCCCATCCGCTTCAACGTATCCACAAGGGACCTGGATGATACCGGGAAGTATTGCATTTCAGAGCGGCATTACACAATGAATTCATCGAATGACAATCGCCACTGTGAGGATGACGTTGTATCCTCTGCGAATGGGATCATTCTCGAGAATGAAGATGTCCCTGCTGCTGTCAACCCGCATGCGGACCGTATGCTCGTGCAGCCAATGGAGGGTCCTTTGATTGTGCCCCAATTTGCCACGGGCAGCGTTTGCAGTCGGTTCACGGTGCGTACTGGGCATTGTTCTACTGGTGTTGCCAATGCTGGCATGGTGCTGTGCGTGGCTGCGGCGCTGTCGGTGGTGGTGGACTCGACGACTGCCGCGATGGCTGCGAGGAGCCCCACGACTGCGACGACATTGATGGCATGGAGCTGCAGGATGACGATGGGGACGGGAGGACGCTGGAGTCGCACTGGTCGCAGCGCCACGCGAAGGATGAGTGGATGGCATCGATTGGAGGTGCCGTCTACTGCACGGAGCTGACGCTGGCCGCATCGGCTGAACTGGGTTGCATGAGGGTGAAGTGGAGTATGGCGGAGTCGATGCGCTGGTGGAGGAATTCGAACTGTGCACTACTGCGGTGGAAGTGCTCCGCACTGAACATGAGTGAATATTCCCACATATCCTGCGAAGCGAGCGTTCCTGCGAGACGCTGCACGTCGGATTGGTATTCCAGTGGTTGGTGTGTAGACGGAGTATCCATGAAATGTCAGCAAAACGCCCGATGGACAGTTGCTCCATCAGTGGTCCCGCACTGGATGCTAGGGATGCTGCCGCTGTTATTTGGAGAGGAGAATGTTTTTCTGCGGTGCCTGGGGACAAGCCCGCCTCGTGGTGTCTGGACACGCTTCCCACCAACACGACGGATGCGAGGGACCATGAAGAAACATACATCTGAGTGCTGCCATGCATGCGGCATTGCGGTGCCTCGGCATGCAGGTGCATCTGAGATTGACTGAGAAGGGTAACGTCCGTTGTGTCCCATGCACGGATGGGGCGACGATTGCGTGGGCCATTCAACCCTACGATGAGGGGACCGTTAGTTGCCGTGACCACGCGCAGGTGTGCACGATATCCGCCACCAGCGGCAGCTTGCTTCCAATGGTTCCGTGGGACGGCGAGGAGAGAGGGTGTGGAGCAGGACGGTTCCACCGACATATACTGAACAAGGATTGCCACGGGCATCCGTCCTCGATCCAGAGAGCATTGGGACCGGCCGTGGCACACCACCGAAGGATGTGGACACGGCTGCTCCCCAGAAGCATCAGTCGCCAGAGGAGAAGGAAGTCACCCCCGATGCCACGACAGCAACGGAGTGCTCTTGCCCAGCGACATCGCGGGTGCGCCGCAGGAGGCGGAGAAGGAAAGCGGTCTTTCGGACAGCGACGATGTGGCCGCCGATGGTGTGACGTCTGTTGTGGAACAATCATTAGGAGATGAGGCCGCCAGCGACAAGGCCGGTGGCGGTGCCGCAGTCACGGGACCCAAGGACCCTGATGCCGCTGATGCCGCGCAGGGTGCCGTGGACCCTCCGCCGAGGGAGGATGATGCGGCGGTGGTGCGCGGGGGTTGGGAGGCAGACATGAAGTACGCCCCGCCTCCGATCCAAGGCAATAACAATGCGGCTGCGGCTTGTCCCTTTCCGCTGCTTCTGCTGCTTGCCGCTGCCGCCGCGGTGCCAACACTCAACAGTGGGTGCAAGAGAGAAAGGCCTATATCAACTGGCATGTCCCTATCAGTATATACATACGCTCTGCCTGTCTGTATACTTTTTACCAGTGGAATGCTGTGTACACTCTCCCTTTTTTGTGTTGGTTGCTAATGTGGCGGCACCACGCGTGTTTTTAATAGGTTTGGGGACAACAATTTGTTTGACTTCTTCTGAAGGATACTGTGGGGTGTTTGTGTGCGTGTGCAAGGGATCTGTGTGGTTTCGATTTTCTTATTTTTATTTATCTGCTTCGGCATTGTGTAGTGGTCTTTGTTTATCCCATTATGTGTGTTCTGAAGTGTTGCTAGGGCACCGGGAGTGGATGCCTGTGGACGCACACCGTGCATTATGCGCTACATTGGTGGGAGGGGAGGCTGACATAACTGGCGGGATTCAGTAAGGCGCATTTTTGCCCACAGACCCTGCAGCCGCAGCAGCCTGAGTAGCGCTTTGCATATGGACGTGTGGATTGTTTTCTCTTGCGAGGCTTTTTTTTACTGCGTGTCATTTTCCTCTCGGGTACCGTTCCCGTGGCAGCAGCGGCGGCATCAAAAGAGCATTGTGTGTGGAGAGTCCTTGATTGAGTGCCTGTCTTACTTCTCTGTTCCGTCGATCGATTGTACCGTGTGCCGGCCAAACTGTTGACATGACGTTCTTCCGACGGCGGGGTCCACGTGACATGATGTTGCGTCGCGTGCTTTGGCGCGGGTGTGCGATTTCTGCAACAGTCGTTGGGCGGTTGCCTGTTGGGTCGTTGAGTGCGGCGTGGCGACGGGTGCGGATGGACCCGATTGAGTGCCGCGGGAAGGAGGAAGGCGGCGGAGCGATGGACACCCGAGGAGTGCGGTGGCGTGCAGCCATGAAGGTTGGCGACAAGGAACTCACTGCTTCTGTGAGTTGCCGTGTGTGGTGTTTGTTTCCGTTATTATTACTTGCGTTGTTGGATGTAGCCACTGTGGGGGAGGACTTTGTTTTTGTTTCTTTTTCACGCCGGTTTGGGATCCTTTTCTGCACCGGTATCCTTTTGTTTTATTGCCGCACTGTTGCGCCCTCTTTCCTGTCCATTGGGAGCAGCTGCAGGTGGGTTTTACATGCCATGGAGTTGTGTGCGTGCTGTCCGGTGTTTAATTGTTGCCTGTTTTTCCTGCGCGCACGCGTCCCCCATGCTCATGACAACAACCCTCATGTCAGCGTCTTCCCTTCTTTTCCATCCTGCTGCTGCTGATGATGATGTGTGTGTGTGTGTTCTTCTCATCTTCCTCTCATTTTGCCTCCCTAGACTGTGTGTGCAGCCGTGATGATGGTGACTGGCCGTGTGCTGCTGGTGTGTGCCCTCTGCGTGCTGTGGTGCGGTGCCGGCGGTGGTGGATGTTCTGAAAAAGCTAAAGTTCCTTCAGCTCCTCAAGACATTACGCCCGTTAATGACAATGGTCCTAAAAATGACAACAATTCCACAGGTGGCGCTGGAGGAGGTCGCCAAAGCGGTCAATCGAAGGCTTTACAAGAAAAGTCATTACCGGACCAAGGCGCAACCGGAGCGGGAGTGGAAAAGGCAATAAAACCCGAGGCAAAAGTACCAGAAACGGCAGACGTAGAGAAGAAAAACGAGGATCAAACGCAAGGAGCTGAAGATGTTGGTAAAAAGAAGGATGAAGAGCAGGAACCGAACGAGGAGGAAGAAGAAGAAGAGGAAGAGGAAGAGCAAGTAGAAGAGGAAGGAGAAGAAGAAGAGGAAGAAGAAAAACGTAACGGTAAGAAGGAAGAAGAGGAGAAAAAGCATGAAGACGCTGGTACCGGCACCACAGAGGGGATGTCAACAGGCAGTGAAGAGCAGCCAAATTTATCTTCTGGCGCGGAGGCAGCATCGAATAAAACAAATCTCAAAAGTACCCAAATAACTGACGACGATGATCCAGCAGCTGATGCTGCAGGGACAAGAAAAGAAAAACAAAATGAAAATAAAGAAGCCAATCCGAAAGAAACACCAGTCGAAGCCACAGCCACGAAGAATACAACGGCGATGAGTGGCGACAGCGACAGCAGCACCGCGGTCTCCCACACCACCTCCCCTCTTTTGCTTCTTCTTCTTGTTGTTGCGTGTGCGGCTGCGGCTGCGGTGGTGGCCGCGTGAGAGTGAGGGAGAGAGAGCCGTGCACCGCCCGCACACACACTCGTCCTTCTCTCTCTCTCTCCCTCCCTGTGTGTGTGTTTTGCTTTACGGGAGCAATGAGAGTGTGTGCGCTGGTCGTCCCACGCTTTGGCTTTTTGTTTTGTTTTTCATTGTTTTGTGGTTGAGAGCACCCATTCCGCGGGCTGCGTGTGTGTGTGTGTGTGTGTGTGTGTTTGTGTGTGTGTGTGATGATATGAGTAATTTGCGTGTGTGCTATCTGCCTCTCTCTGCCGTTGCTTTCTTCTGACTCTCTTGTGGCGCACAGCTGCTCTGCAAGTATAGACGCTGACAAACACAGATGCACACACACACGCCATTATGCATACTCCGTAGAGCGGCGTGATTGCTGAGGACGCACGCAGATGATTCTGGCTGCGAAATCCCTTGCGAGGAGGGAGTACGGGAGCCTGCGATTTATTTTTTGACACGTGGCAGGCGTGCAGTCGATTGGGCGGTGTGGGTTAATGTGCCTGGGACAAGTGCGGATTGCTTCTCGTCCAGCTGCTGCAGGTGCCAATGTGTATCTCCTATGCTGTGTATACGTTGGTCAGGGATTCTTCGCCTGTGTGCGTGATGTGCGTTGGAGGGTGCGCTGGAAGGGTGAACAGTAAAATGACTGGAGACAGCGCGTGGGCTTTGCAAAGGACGGTCTTGTTCTCTTTTGCATTCTGCCGGTTGCTTTGCCGGGTGTGGTGTTTCTCGGTGTGTGCTGACGCGTGACGAATAAGACACCCGCCGTGACCCCTGCTGCTGCTGGTGGTGGCAGTCGCTGTGTGTTCCCGGTGCACTCTTCTTCCATCTCCTGTTCCGTGTGTCTGTGTGCGTGAGTTTTTGTTGTTGGGAGTAACTGCGGTGGGGATGATGATGCCACTCACTGTGGAGGGGCGGCCGTGCTCACTGTTTCACTCCTTTTTCCTCTTCTCTCTCTTTCTCACACACAAAGAAGGAAAGGAAGTAAGGCTAAACGCTAATCGATACTGTGAAATTGTAAGGCACTGAAAGGACCAACAGCACACACACCGCCCACACACACATATTTATATGCTCTCACGTGTTGCTGCAGTGAAGGCACCCCGCACACACAACCGTCGCGGCGTGACCGGATCCAACGGAAGGAGGAGGGAAGGAGGAGAGAGTGAGCCGCAGAGGCCCAACATGTCCCGGCGTGTGTTTACTTCCGCGGTGCCGCTCCTTCTCGTCGTGATGATGTGCTGCGGCAGTGGAGCTGCAGTCCCGGAAGAGAAGCCGTCTGGCAAGGGATCGGAAGCGGAGAAATATTTTGCTTGGAGAAATAAGAATGATAAAGAAACAGTGAGTTTGCTTCGTGTTCCCAGTCTTGTTGAGATGAACGGTGATGTGTTTGCCGTTGCCGAGGCGCAGTTGAAGGATGAAAGCGATTTTAATGGGATTGCCTCGGGGTTCCTGGAGTGGAATGACAAAGCATCAAAAGAATTGGATAAAACTAAACTGAAGACGCAAGTACTGGTGGAATGTTTTTCCGATAAGGAGAATTGTGCCTCCCGTGGAGCCGATCTGGTTGTCTCCCAAGGAGTGAAGAAGGTACATGTGAGTCGACCAACAACAGTCGTTAAGGAAAGTGATATTTACATGCTCGTTGGAAAATACTGTCGGAAACCTGCTGCCGCTGGTGCTGGGGGGAGTGAAGCAGATGAATGGGGACTTTTGCTGGTGAAGGGCCAAGCCAGTGGTAATGGGGAAAGCAGCAAAGGAATCCTTTGGAAAGAAACAAACGATGTTCCACTGACAGCTTTTGTGGAGGAACCTCAATCCTTGACGCGGCTGATTGGCAGTGGTGGATCGGGTGTTAAGATGGAGGACGGTACGCTTGTGTTTCCCGTGGAAGCCACGAAGAAGAACAAGGATGCAAAGACCATTTCGTTGGTCATATACTCCTCGGATGCTAAACTTTGGACGCTGTCGAAGGGGATGTCTGACGATGGCTGTAGTGATCCCTCCGTCGTGGAGTGGAAGGACAAACTCATCATGATGACTGCGTGTGATGATGGCCGCCGCAGGGTGTACGAGTCCGGTGACAAGGGGGATTCGTGGACGGAGGCACTCGGGACACTCTCGCGCGTGTGGGGCAACAAAAAGGGTGAAATCGTTGAGAACGGGTTCATCACAGCGACGATTGAGGACAGGGACGTGATGCTCGTTACTCTGCCGGTGTATTCCAAGGAGGACAGTAAAAAAGTAACGGGCAATGGAAAGGGCAGACTCCATCTTTGGCTGACGGACAATACGCACATTGTCGATATTGGGCCGGTATCCGATGATGACGTTGCCGCCAGCTCCCTGTTGTACAAAAGTGCTGGAAGTGGAGATAATAAGAAGGAGGAGCTTATTGTACTATACGAGAAGAAGAAGGGCGATGGAGAATCATCACACAGTCTTTGGTCTGTGCTCCTGACTGAGCAGCTGCAGCGTGTGAAGGATGTGCTGGCGACGTGGAAGAAAGTGGACGACCTTGTCTCCAAGCTGTGCACCACTTCAAGTGCTGAGAAGGATGCCTCACCTGAAAATGCCTGCAGCACTACTGTTAAGATCACGGATGGGCTGGTTGGCTTTTTGTCTAACAACTTCTCTGAGAACACATGGAGGGACGAGTACCTCGGGGTGAACGCCACGGTGAAGAAGAAAGATGGGGCAACAGAGGATGCAGGGGAGACGGGGGCAACAAAGACTTCCGATGGTGTGACTTTCCAGGGAGCGTGGGCGGAGTGGCCTGTTGGCAGTCAGGTGGAGAATCAGCTGTACCACTTTGCGAACTACAACTTCACTCTTGTGGCGACGGTGTCCATCCACAAGGTGCCGGAGGGAGATAACACTATTCCTTTGATGGGTGTGAAGATGAATGGTGAACAAGGGAAATTTTTTGGGTTGTCTTACGAGAAGGAAAAGAAATGGAAGTTACTGTGCGGTGACGGAACGAACGAGGAGCTCAGCAGCATTGGGGAACCTGAGACAACACACCACGTGGTAATTTTGCTACGAAATGGCAACCAGAGCTCCGCGTACGTCGACGGTCAGCGTGTGGGGAATGGACAATGTGAATTGAAAGATATGGAATCGCAAGACATCTCACACTTCTACATTGGAGGGGATGGAGGTGCGAAAGGCGTCTCAGAGGTCCAAGACGTGTCTGTGACTGTGAAGAACGTCCTGCTGTACAACCGCCCGTTGAGTGACAATGAGATTGGCGTCCTTAACCCAAATAAAGTCGCCATTCAACATTTGAAGGATAAGTCGTCGGAGCCTTCAACAGTTTCTTCTGATTCCGTTAATCCTAACACCTCTCCGGCTACCGCAGATGCTCAGCAAACCGGAACTTTGTCTACTCCTGACGGAAAACATCTGACGGAACAGGGACAATCGATGGGGAGCAGTAATGCGGGCAGTGGCGGTGCATCCACAACAGCGGTGTCCGCTATAACTACTCCTTCAGCAGGAGAGGAGTCCGTATTGCAGGTGACGTCAGGAACATCTCCCGAAGGAACTCAAACTGTGGGTGGCGGTTCTACTGCTGATGGCGAGCCAACGATGGAGACAAGAGAAGGAGGAACGAATGGGCAGGAGGAGGAGGTTAATACACAGCTCGGGGAAGTAAATGCCACGACACTCAGCAGCAACCTCGGAAATGTGTCGCAAGAAAATAACAGCGATGCCGGCAGCATGTGTGGGAGCGGACTGCTGCCATCGCTGCTTCTGCTTCTGTTGGGACTGTGGGTGTTTGCGGCTCTGTGAGGAGTGACTGGCTGCCGCGTGGGACACTTGCGACCTCCCCAGCACAAAAATACACGTGATAATTTATTTCCCTTCTCAAATAACATTTATTTTATTCCCTGTTTGCTTTGCGTTTTGTTGTTGTTTTTACTTTTTATTTCTCATTTCCCCATTCCCTTTTTTTTTGCTTTTGGGGCAATCACTATGAACGTTTCTTCTTTTCTACTCTTCCCTCTTTTAATTGTTTGTTGCTGCACTCTTCCTTTGAGGGGTGCCGTGTGTTTCCCGCCCAACTGCTCCACTCGCACACCCACCGACACGCTCATGACGACGGCCCTGTGCGCCTCGCCTGCTGCACGCATGAGGAGGGGCCGCGACGAACTGCGCGCTGAGGGAGCCGTGACGTGTGGGCGTGCGACGATGGCCTGTGGGGCGGAGCACACATTTCTTTCCCTCTTGTTTTCTTTGCGGGCAGGGCGGGCAGACACCCGCAGCGCCACACACACACACACAGCCACACCCTGCCGCCGTGTTTTTCTTTAAGGATTTGTTTTGCTTTGCGTGTTTATTTCGTGCGGTGGCGCACCCTTCGGGGTCGGCCTCGTGAGCGTTTCTCTCCCCTCCGATGATTTTTCTTTTTTTTGCTGCGCTCACTCTCCCGATGGAGAGACGCGACTCCCGTCATGTCTGCGTGCTTCTCTCAGTCCCCACACACACGAGTGACTGTGCTCTGCGGGCCGCACTCACACGCCGATGAGAGGGCTGAGGGGAGCAGCAACACGCGGATGACCCCATGAAATATAAACGATGTGCGGACACATGGAGGGTCAGACGGTTGAAGCACACGCAACCATCTTTTTAATTTTATTTTGTGGGCAAAATATATACAGAGAGTTTGGTGTGGCCACACGGCTGCCAGGCGATCTTTTTTTTATTTTGTGTGGAACAGTAATGGACGATTTCTTTTTTCATTTATAATTATTTTGTGTGATGGGGTTTATATAAGACGAAGGAGGACGTTTTTTTGTTTTCAATAAATCTTGTGTGAATTGCCACTGCTTGGGCTGCAGTGCAGTCATGAGTTTGAGCGGTCTTCTTGTTGTTGTTTCCGTTGTGCGTCTCCGCTGTGCATTTTGTGCGTCTCTCCACATACTCTGCTCCCTCTTTTCTACATCTTTGCCTTGTGTTGCTGCAGGCACACACAACCACACACACAAGATGCACATTGCAGTGGGTTTGAATGCTCCTTTTGTAGTGCATGCTGGCAGTTGCGTGTGGCGGCTGTTTTCTTCCTCCGTGGCCATGAGGAGGGAGGAGATGGAGCGCAGCCCGAGTCTATTTTCCTGTGGGTTTGATGCACCGCGTGTGACTGCGTTGAGTTGGGCTCCGTCTCCCATTGAGGGCGGGATGGCAGGAAATTTTTTGGTGCCGCGTCATGGATGGATGAGGGTTCGCTTGCTCCGTGTGCGTTGTGTGGTGGGCGCGGGGTTTTGGCCATTTCCCTGGGGCTGCGGGAATGAGCTGGGGGAGATGGTGGTGGATGTCTTCTCCTCCTGCATGGTGGGTGGCTGCTGGCGTTGTGTGCCCTCATTGCGTGGATGCCGTCTCGTGGTGTGTGAACTGTGCGGCTGGGCCTGCTGCCCTCTCCTCATGTTGTCTGCTCTCTCTCGCTGTATCCGCTGTGCTCCGTCCCTCTCCCTCTCGTTCCATTCCTTTTCCTTTCCGTCCCACCGATCGGCTGACTGACACCAGCGACTCCACTACGGGCGATGATGACTGCGATGGTGACGGTGTGCGCCGTGTTGTTCCTTGGGCTTTTGTGCTGCTGCTGCTCGTCCGTGTGCGTGACGGCGACAGGAGACGATAATAATGATAACAGCAGTCCTCCCAGCCCTGAGCTAGGGAAACCGGATCCTACAAGAAATATTCCTGGTGCATTACAGCCATATGGTGGGGAGACCGGTGTGCCACAGACAGAGAGTGGGAGAGACAGTGAGGAGGGTTTGAGAAGTCAAGGACCTTCTTTCCAAAGGAAGCAGGCACAGCCATCACTGGACAGACACCAGTTCCGCCAGAATCACTACGTTCGGCTAGCGATAATCCAGAACCAGCAGGTTTGGCAACTCAGTCTCCGCACACACACAAGGTGCGACCGGTATGTCAGATGCACAAAATAAAAGGGCGCAGGAAAATACACAAGGTGATGAGGATCATAAGGCACCGACATCAAATCAGAAGTTTAAAATGCCAAATACGACCACCAACAAGACTACAACAACGCTCTGGGTCAGCCGGCCACCTCAACGTGGTGCCAGGGTCTAGTGCTCTTTGCCAGAGAGGAAGCTAAGCGCCTGCTGTTCATCCGCTGCTTGCGGAGAGGCAGGAGGCGCCGCACAAACGGGTCGGAAGGGCACCAGATGGAGCCATTTACATGGCTGCCCGCGGAGCGGTATTTCCATCCGCTGCTGAATTCCATCGGCGCTTATCAGCGCTATACATACTCTTTGCGTGCCGTATGTGACGCGCAACGACAAAAGCTACTGCCAGGCGGAGACATTGAGCAGAACCCAGGCCCCATAGCAGTACTTCAGATGAACGTTTCTTGCCTCACGCCGTCAAAACTCGCAACATTAATGGCGCAAGGAGCAGACATAATAGCCATCCAGGAGACTTGGAAGTCGTCGGAGCAGATCGCCAGCATGCATACTGGAGATCATGTGCTCCATGCACAGTCGCGCATCGGCAAGGGAAGCGGTGTGGCGGTGCTAGTGCGGAAAACTCTCCGCTCCAAGCGTGTACCCCTCACCATCCCTCAGCATGACACCAGCCTTGAAGTGGTGGTGGTTCAGGTTGCTCTGGACCAAAACCGTGATCTTATTGTCGCGAGTACCTACATGAGACCACCACCGCAAGTAACGCAATCCTTCAGGCGGTTAGTAAACTGCCTTCCAGCCTCGTCGCCGCTCCTGCTGTGTGGGGATTTCAACATGCATCACCCACAGTGGGAGCCATTCTTGGAGTCTTCTCCAAGCGAGGTTGCTGCAGAATTTTTAGAACTGTGCACGGATGCGGGACTCACCTTGGTTAACACCCCTGGTGATATCACGTATGCTCGTGGCACAAGAGAACGATCCTGTATCGATCTGACATGGTCAAAGCATTTGACTGTGTCAGATTGCTCAGCTTCTGTGTCGCCGCTTAGTGATCATTACATGCTAACATTTACGCTGCATCAGGCATTTATGGATACCATACCTTCGGCACCCCCTTCGGCACCTAGGACATTCTACAGTTAGGGGAAGTGCAAATGGGATTTATTCGTCAAGGACTTCGACGCACAACTTCCGGCATACGACTATAAAAAGCAGTCCACCGGCATTAAAGCTTTCACGAGAGCGCTTATTACTTCGTATCGACGACATTGCCCCCGCGGCATGCACAAGGATGGTCCCAGGCTTTGGGACGATACTCTCATGGAAGCAGAGCGGATTGCTACCGACAGCAAGGCCCGCTATCTACAGTTACCGACGCCCGACCGTGAGGCAGAAATGCAACGGACAAGGAGTCAATTCTTCCTCCCACTCCGAGAGCGCTTGCGCAACTCGTATCTACGTCGCATCAGCAAGTTAAATCCAGGCGAACCACTCGCATGGAAATACATTTCCGGACGAAAAAAGGCATCACTTCCACCTCCTACATCATTGTTGTTGGGAGGTGGTCAACACACTTATAAAACAGCAAGGAGAGCAGCGAATGCTCTCAATCGCATCTTTTTTCCACTTCATCCCTCTCACAAGGCAGTAAGGCCTTCCAAGGGCATCAACAGACAGAACCCATCTTTGAACATTGTTTCTACTTCTTCTAGTTCTGAGCCGCAGGACAACAACGAGTCTGCCGCAACATCTAATTCAGTTTTTTCATTCTCATCTAATTCAGAGCCACAGGATAACAACGAAGCTGCCACCACATCTGGTTTATTTGCTTATCTTCACTCCCCTCTTGATGCACCTTTTAATCGTACGGAACTGCTTGCTGCGCTACGTACTATGCCGTATGGCAAGGCCCCGGACCGGATGAAGTCTACAGTGAGGCGCTACGACATATTTCGTCAAAGGGTCTCCGATTCCTTCTTCGTTGCATTAACCACAGCTGGACGACCGGTGCGATCCCGGCTGAGTGGAGACGCGCTACCATCGTCCCACTCTTAAAACCCAGTAAGTCGCCGGAACTGCTTGAGTCATGTCGACCCATCAGCCTTACTTCCATTGTGAGTAAGGTTGCTGAGAAAATGGTACTGAAGAGATTGCTTTGGGTGTGGGCGCCACACCCCCACCAGTATGCATATCGTAGTATGCGTACTACGACGACGCAGCTGGCACATCTGATACACGAAGTGGAGCATAATAGAAATCATTATTTCCAAGTGAACCTTCCCAAGAAGAGCGGTATTGGTAATCAACTCCACTACAGACCCCATCGGACTCTGCTGGTGTTGGTTGATTTCAGCAAGGCTTTTGACTCCATAGATCATCGAGTCCTCAGTCGCTTGCTAGCTAATATTCCGGGGGTGAATTGTAGAAGGTGGCTTAGAAACTTTCTACGTGGTCGCCACGCGAAGACACGAGTTGGTAACAGAAACAGTGATCGGCGTCCCATGCTGCGAGGAGTTCCTCAGGGGTCCGTACTGGGACCATATTTGTTCTCCCTTTACGTACACCTACTTCTCAATCTGCTGAACAGCTTTGCGGGTGTCACAGCAGACATGTATGCGGACGACCTCTCTATTATCGTTAAGGGGCAGTCCCGGGAAGACGCCATTCCCACCGCCAACATGGTTCTCAAAAAAACTGCATGTGTGGAGTCAGGAAAATGGCCTGGCCATTAACCCGTCAAAGCGTGAAGCCGCTTGGTTCACACTCTCCACGCACACGGAATCAGATTATGATCGTGAAGGAAAGTGGCCGCTGGAAGTGGCTGGATGTAAAATCCCAGTCATGACCATGGGAGCATCGCGAACTACG